TGCACTCAGTTTAAGGACTTAAGAGTTCATTCACTCATTATTCATAAAGTAATTTGAGAATTAAAAAAGACTCAGTTCTGTGCCTGTCAGTGCAGGAATACAAAGGCATTATTGATGTTGCCCTTGGCCTCCACAACACTATTAAAAGGTCTTAGCCAATTGTGAGTAACATTTCTCACACATGAAATAATTGAAGAACTAGAAGGCAACACAGGATACATTGCAAATAATACAGGTCCTGAAAACACGGCCAAATGAAAAAAAGGGAACTAAATGCATTAGGCAGAGTTTTGAAGAGTAGATAAAAATGTTTATGGATTAAATATACATTGTTAAATGAAATTTATGAGAGGTCACACCTCCCACACCAGTAGGCCCCAAAGTTGAAACTAAACCAGAATAGAGTTACTCATGTTAAGTGTCATGCAATCAAACTGAACCTTAAAATAAAGGCTGGGTTTCCAAAGATGAAGACTTTTCTGAAACGGTTTGAGATAGTTTACTATATTATAAACCCCTGAGGCCAAAAAGATTGAGATGAAACAAGCAACAAGGGGAAAAACCAAACTGATACATATTCAGGGAAGTCTAAACTGTTAAGTCACTAACAAGATTAATGTGGGGAGATGGTAGAAGTAAAATGCAAGGCAACAAAAACATAAGAGAAAGGTGATTGTAGTTAAAACACTCCCAAGTCTTTGTGTTATTTTAAAGGAAGATAGAATTCTTTTTTTTTTTTTTTTTTTTGGGTACTGGGAACTGAACTCAGGACCTTGTGCTTGCCAGGCAGTCGCCTATGCCACTGAGCTATATCCCTGGCCCAGGAAGATGGAATTCTGATTAAATTTCAAATACAGTATGCACGTTAGGAAATTAAGGTTAATCGGTAGTAGAATAAGCTTATAATATGTAATTTCCCAAAAAGAAAACAAATGTATCAGTATGTAAGACAAGGCAGGGAAGAAAAAAAAAAGGAAGGAAATGAGTAGGGCAGAAAAACTAATACAGAAGAAATAAAAGCAAATACAACAGTAATAATACATAACAGGAATAAGCTCTTCAGGTAAGGCTGCATTGAAAAAGAAAACACAGTACAATCATATGCTATTTAAGAGATGCAGCTAAAACATTACACAGAAAAGACTGAAGCAGAGGGATGCAGAACAAACCTTTGGTAAATATTAATCAAAAGAAAGCTATTACAGCAAGTATAATTTCAAACAAAATGAACCTTAAAGGAAAAATAATAATTGAGGGTACAAGAAACAATTCATTACTAAGACAATACACTTGCAAGTCCTTAACAATTTAGCTTAAAAATAAATACTGATAGAATCCACAACCATAATGCAGGGTTTTAATGCATCATTCTCAGAACCTGACAGATTAAACAGGCAAAACAGTCATAAGAGCATAAGACTGTTTTAATGATATTCACAAAATGTATTATTTGAATGTATTTGCAGTCTTCTCCTAACCTTGCACCGAACTACAGAAGATATATACTTTAAAACATACACAAAGCAAACACCTTCCACCGAACAACTACAGAAGATATATACTTTAAAACATACACAAAGCAAACACCTTCCACACACAGGGTGCAAAGCAAGCCTCAGCAAGCAATGATTCTCATCACACAAATGAAGTTTTTTGAAACAAAAACCCCCGCAAATCCGTATTTTGTGAAACTTCAAGAACTGAATGGAACTTATGTTTCAATATATAAATCTTACTGAAAAATCACCTCATGTCTGAAATTGAAAGAAAACAAAAACTGGCAATCAAACTGAAATGTGGCTAAAGGAACAGTTAGATGGAAATTTACCGTCTTCTATGAAAACAGAAAAGATGGCTTAAAAATATTAATGAACTTAAGAACCTATAAAGAAAACCTCAAGGAATAGGAAAGAGCAGAAATGAATGAAAGAGAAAACAAAAGAGAGGACCAGACCGAAAGGCTAATTCTTTGAAAAGACACAAAATAAGACAAATTTCTAGCATGAATTAAAAGAGAAAAAACATTAGCAATGAGAAAGGGGACAATGATGTCATTTAAATTTCTCAAATAAGACATTACTATGACAACTTTATAAATTTGAAAGCGAAGAAATAATGTTCTGGATAATACTTGCTCTGAAATGTAGAGCAGAGAGGACAATCGCTGTGGTTGACTAGGACTGAAGTTATCAGGAACAATTTTGCAAAAAAGAGAGCCTTTGAAGACAGGAGGCCTTGGGGGAAGGCATATCCAAAAATGAAAATGACGGGGCTGGGGATTTAGCTCAGCGGCAAAAGCGCCTGCCTGGCAAGCGCAAGGTCGTGAGTTCGGTTCCCGGTACCAGATAAAAAAAAAAAAAAAAAAAAAAATGAAAATGAGAGAGATATCTCAAGCAAACAGAGAAAAAGATAATTTGAAGCCATATTTAAGTACAGAGGTTCCCCACCACCCCCTCACATATATATTAGAATATATTGGGCTGGGCTATGACTATAATCTCAAGTATCTATTATTCAAACTTTCATTCAGAATGTTGTAACATTGACAATTATATATATATGTAATGATTAAGAACTTTTACGTATTTTCTGCTACTTTAATATTAAAGTTCCTTAGACTATCCTAACATTTTTAATCACATGCTTCAATTATTTCCTCCTCCCAAATCTTTATGTACTTAGAAAATGTAAAGTAATTGTATTAGAATAAGCACACTGAAAAGAAAAGGAAGCGCTCCATCTAAAATCAACTAATACTATGGGATCAAACATGCTAGGAAGAAAGGCCTTGGATATTTTAGATTCTTTGCATCACTGATTTAGCCTCTTCTCAGAAGTACTGTTAATCATGAACTGACTACTCTTGAAAATGTAAGTCATAGGTGAGGAGAAAATACCTGCAATACAAATCCAATAAACGTCATGTATCCAGGATATATAAAGAATTCCTACAAATTCATAAAGACAGGTGAATTTCAGAAAACATGGGAGACGTAGCATCTTACAAGAGCTTATCAAACTGGCCAGTGAAAAAATGAAAGTGTGCAATATCACTGCACAATTATAAGTAGAAAGCAAATTAAAACAAGATACCATGAAACACCCATAGAATTGGTAAAAGAAAAGACTGAGAATAGCAAGTGTTGGTGAGGATGTGGAACAACTAGAACATTTTTACATTGCTATGGGAGTATAAATTAGTATAAGTACTTTGGGAAAATGTTAAGCAGTACCTTTTCTTGGGTTTTTTCTGAGACAGGGTCTCAATATATAGCCCAGGCTGGCCTCAAACTCATGGCAATCCTCCTGCTTTGGCCTTTGAGTGCTGGGTTTACAAGCATGTGCCACCATGCTCAGCAAACAGTACCTTCTAAAGCTAAACATACCTTATTTCTAAGTAATTCCACACATGTGCTTATGTCCATCAAAAAAGCATTTCCCATAATGCTCACTGCAGCTCAATGCATAGTAGTCCAAACCTGAAAACAATACAAACAATCCAGCAGTAGAATGGGTACACTGTGCAACAGTGATAGAGTAGAATCTTATGTAATGAAGACGAGACTAAGCTTATGTTTACCACATGACCCCTGCAAATAGAAGGTCCACGAAGCATTCTGCGTGTATGATCTGTGTATATGAAGTTCACTGATAGATGGATCTATGGTAATACAATGAAGAGAAGGGGCAGCTCCCAAGGGGAAGGGTGGGGGGCTGTCTGGTGTACGGCTGCTGGCCTAAAGAGGGCATGAGTAAAACTTTCGGAGTGCTGAGAAGTTTCTGAATCTTATCTAGACTGTTGCTACACTGGTTTCTACATTTAAAAAAATTCAAGCTGGTCATTTAATATTTTGTGCATGTTACCATTGTAAATATTGTACTTCAATAAGAAAAAAAGTACTTCAATTTGTGTCTTTTTCACTTCATTTGAAGGTGGAATGTATACTATATACAAGTCACTCAGAGTTGAAACACGACCGTGTTAGTTTCCAAGTAAAATCAACCTTGTTTCAAATGTTTCATATTAAAGGTACATAACGCCGAGATCTGAACTTAATTTAGAAAGTGTATAGATTTCTCACCAAAGTATACCAATAAATGCATAGTTTGCAGAAAGGTGAACCATGGGTTGGGTTCCATTTAGGATTTTACAAGAAAACCTCATTTCAATATATAATCGAAATTGTAAAATGAAACAGAGAAAAGTTGTGCGAGACATATGTTTCCACTGAAGGGCTCGCCTTGATCCTCTCAAAATGCTGACCTTTTGAAGAGGGAACATCTGAAGGTTTGGGCAGTGCCCTGTCAAAGCCTTATAGGGTTTGTCCCACGCGAAGTTTAGGCTAATAAATGCATACACTGTAGTTAGAAAGCCACCTCTACCCAAATCGCAGGTTGTTGTGTAGAACAGAGGGGGTTTTAGAGAGCCACTCATTTTGGAACGGATCAATTTATGCTTTTACTGGAGTTTCGATGATTCATCAAGAAGGAAAAAATTGATTGCAGATAATATACTACACCTATTGTTAAAATGCTCTTTAAATCAAGGGTACAGATTAGGGCACTGGGACAACTGAACTGTTCTTTACATTGCACTTATTCAATCCAACACAGAAAAGAAAGAAAAAGGAGCAGAATATATACTTACTAGTAATGATGAAGGAAGAGATGCTTATTTCCTTTTTAAATGAAGTCTAGATTTAAAAAAAAATCTCAGCTGAAATCTTGTATTTTGTGGATTTCAGAGATCTGGAGTATATGAAGGTTCTATTTCTATAGCCAATAATGTATCCTGCTCATAAGAAATCATATTGGTTTTGAAATGGCCATAGTAGAATTTTAACCCTTCAGGTTTTAAGCTACCCCATACTATTTTGTGGGGTGTGGAGTTGAGTCCTTGCATGTAGTGGGCCACCTCCAATTACCTCAGGAGCAAGATGGCATAGAAACAGGTTTCAGAACTGTCAGAACAACCAAAGCACTGCACCACAACACACCGCTTTGTAACTGCTCTATTTATTAATACGTATAACACAAATGCTCACGATATCAACGCATTCTTGTTGGCATGCTGGACAGAGGCATTGTTTTTGAAGATCTTTTAAAAATATTTTGACTTTTGTCCCCCCTTCACACTCATTTTTTAAATTGATCTGATGAGGCCCTGGAAGTCTGTAATGTCAATGCAGGAAAAAACACAGAAGGAAGTAAAATAATACAATAGCAATTAACTGGGCAAAAACCAAAGATAATATCATTGCCGTCACAGGAAGCCACAGCACAGCTCTGTAACAGGATTATACAGGTTTCAACTGAGAGGCAAAGGCGCACTAAACTGTCTCTATACACCCAGCTACAGAACAATAACGAGCAAGGAGGCCACCTAACACTCAACACCAATTTCCATCATGCGTGACACATGCTTTTTTTCTCCTTGTGAACAATTACCAGTGTATCTCTTTACACGTCCTAGGCAGCCTAGAGAAGATAGGAAAGAGCCTTAGTAAAGGAAAACCAAACCAAACAAGATTAAGCCAAAAGAACAGATAGCTATCATTTGCTTATCTATGTTAAGGTGTGTGGCATTAATTGACCACAGTGAGGGGCTAACAGGAGTCTCCCACACTACATGCAGGCCCCAGGGGGCCAGTGATGGTGTGATAACCAGTCACCTACAATGAGCTGCAGTTGGACCAAGTACACTGGAGGAGCTGGCACGCATAGGGCCTCGGGTGGGGTTCACTAGGACTAGCCGCAGGGGGACCTGGTTACACTCTGTGGCACAACAGGGCTTCACAAGAAGACACTACACATGTGGGCTGAAAGGTGAAGTGACTGGGTAGGAGGGTCAGCTGCACGCAGGGGTGGGGAAGTGGGAACAGGGCAGGTGTATTATGCACTGTGCTCTAACATCCTTTAGAAGTCTTTCAGATTGCTGTAGGTCCTTTTTAACACAGGTCTCTTCTTCCAACGTTCTTGAAAGACTGAGAGAGAAATTAAGATGTGTGAGTGATTCATCACTTATAAGAATTTTTTAAAATAAAGATAACAAGGTGAAAGGAGCATTTCGTATTTTCCACAACAGCATCCATCCAAACTCCTCCCCAAAACCATGGAAATGAGATTTTTGCATGTGGACAAGTGCCAACAACATTAGGTAGTTCAAGTGGCCAGGTGGTCCTCCTGACCATTTGAAGTGTTGTATGGGCACCCAAGGGAAACCCTCGAAATTAAACATGCCCCATTGCCACTTACCTTCTCCTTACACCATCTCATATTGATTGGCCGTGATGAACCGGGACAGACAGCAGGCCAGCAGCATGCCAATCAACTGTTGCCAAGGAGACAAATGAAACAAGAATCTGAAGTCGTTGAACTATACCCTTCTTTCACTTTGGATTTCAATCTTTACTTTTAATTGACACATGATTACTGCAATTTTAGCAACCAAGTTACCAACTGTGAATGGGGAAAGGGTGCTAGAAATGAACCACCAGATTTCAGTGTGGGATCTAAGCTGGAGGAGGTCTAACTGCTGGTATAGGACCAGTTGGAAGCTCTGGAACTGGCCATAAGGTTCTAGTTGTAGCTCACTCTGGCCATTTAACAACTTTTGAGACTAGGTAGTATTAAAATTTGCTCATATTGTGAGAGTAATGAAAATTAAGTGACCTGGAATTTGGGAAATATTAACTAAAAAGCCAAAATTTAATTCAAGGTCATAAGCACATGCATTTGGAAAATTTCTCAATACAGTGTGCTTTTCTAGCTATCTGTATTTAGCTGACAGATAATAGTTCTTTCCTAGAGACAAGAATAGAGACACTATTCCTGACCAGATAGTTTTTCAGTGTGAAAAGAAAGTCAGGGCTTGTAAAAGACAGAAGAAAGTGGGGCCTGAAATTCTCTCTGTATCTCAGCTCTGAAGCCATCTTAGGCCCAAATATACCTGTCTCTACCCAGGGCCCACCTCCTAATTTTTCAGGGGCCCAAGAACAACCAGTCACAAAAACCCCCACCTCCTCAGAAGACTCCATCCTCATGGTCTCTGTGCCTTGACCTAACCTGTGCCACATGCATGTCTGATAAAAACTGCTGGGACACTATCAAGCTTGCCTTCAGCAGATCTTGCTCTGCTCATTAGAAGCACAAATTCTCAAACACATATCTGGGGAATCAACATTCTTTGGATAGAAACTTGAAAGTGTACTTGAGCCTAGATGCCACTTTCCTTTGGCCAATGTAGTTCCTTATCTTTAAGCAACTGGGCAGGTTTTAATCGATCAGAAGTGGGAATGACCTTTAGAGATAATCTGCCACACTGTCACCTAGGACCTTTGTTAGAAATGCATGTTTCTCAGGCCCCAACCCTGATTTGCTAAATCAGAAACTGGTGTTTCAATAAAGCCTCCACCTAGTCACCCTTCTCTTGGCTCTTAACACATCAGTGAAGGTCCAGGCCGGATTCTTGGCTTCTTTAAAAAATTAAAACTGTGCCATGAAATAAGCAAATTATAACCTTTGTCAGGGAAAGGAAACTCATCACCTTACCGCAGTCACCCTATCACCTACTGAGCTCTGGCCAATGTCACTTCATGCCACAAAATGTATAGTATCATGTACTTAGTGCCACGTGGCCAAAGATATTATGGCTACAACCTTCAGAATATTCTGTCACATGAAAAATTAAAATCTTCCCATGAGTTTGAATTATACACTTGGTAGTGTCAAAAAATTAGATTCCATCCAAAAAACAAGTATGGGAGCTATTTAATATATTCAAGTATAATAAATGATTGAGTCTTTACTGCAAACCTGTGCAATATTATGATCCCAACTTTCTAGAAAAAAGAGTAGGATCAGGGGTGATATAACAAATCTTCCCCAAACTATACAAGTAATCTACCCCTTCCATCAGAGAATAGGCCCAGTTTTGTCCCACTACATAGAAAAGTTAAACAGTTGTTCCTCAAGGGCTTTGTGACCCAGGACCCTCCGTCTGCCGGACTGATTTTGTGTGTTCCTCAGGACCCAAAAAGGAACTACTAGAACATACCAAATCAGTCCGGCAGACTGAGGGTCCTGTGTCACAGGACAGGGGATGGATTGGTAGGCGTAGGATCTGTATTTTTTGATGTGAACATTTTCTTTGCTAATTAATGGATTTAACCCTCCTTCCCCTTTAAAAAAAGAAAAAAAGCACAAAATGAATTCCCTTCAGGTGTTATCTGAGGCAAGAAGGAAGGTGACTTTGGAGCTTAACATTTAAATCAGCAAATCAGGTGAGGAGGAGGAAGTCAGTACTGTACTCCTGGATATGCAATAGATGCCCAACCTCATGCAAGGCCCTTCACCTATTCTGGAAAACAACTATACAATCTCCATTGAGGACCGTAACATACCAGGATACGGGTGATTAATCCAGCTTAGTAGCTTTCAAGTCTAGAAAAGCCCTAGGTCTATTTACCTTGGATACAGAAGTACTTACCACGGAGGAAACCTTCCACCCTCACATGGCCAAACCAAGGTGTGACACAGTGTCACAAATTGAGTAATACTGGGATCACAAAGCCCTTGTTTTCTAGGCCATTTAGGGGAATAGGAGGGAGGGAGGGAGTATGCTTATCTTTCTTGCACATTTGTAAAAGCCAGCCATGGGCATTCCTCTCTCTGCCCCAAGAAGAGCACCGCAGGTCTCAAGCCTCTGTTCTGCTGGAACTGCCTGGCCGCATGGGTGAGTAGGACTGGTTGTGTGATACTACTAGGCTTTGTGTTTTCTTTTCTAACTCGACAAGAATGTGGTACATTGATGAGACCTAAACTTGCTGCAGAGTGTTTCTGTTTTGGGTGTTCCTTGGGACCAAAGCTCCTCCCTCCCTCACTTCCTCCGCATCAGAAAGCACACTCAACAATCTCCACATCAGGGATTTCTTTAAGGCAGCAGAGAAAGATGAATGTTCATCAGGTCAGCTAGCCATTCATCTAAGCACAAATTCCTTCATAGGAATGTGTGAGAGGGGAGTGGAGGAGAGCCATTAAGCAGCTTCTTTATGATACAGAGAAGGATCTATCTGATTTGATTCATCTCACTAATGAAAAACAAGATGCTGCTCCCCATCACACATACTCAGGGCGAGCCAGGAATGTTCTTGGAAATAAGATGCTTCATCCATGAGACCCCAGGTTCCATGAAATATTCTTCTCCTCTTGTCTACTATCGGTATTATGTCCCTTTATGTGTCCAGGGTAGCCAAGAGAGACTGTAGCAACATTTTTTCCTCCAAGGGAACAGTCCTTCTCAAGTGCCAAATGTAGACAATGCAGGTCTGCCCTTCTGGTGCTCACAACCTGACGCTACACATACATGCATTAAGGAAAAGGTACGTGCAAGGCTGTCAAGTGCAGCCTGGACATTTGCATCAGTCACAAGGCTAAAGATCCTCTAACATGTCCCCAGCCATCACAGACATGTTACTGCGTGTTATTACTGAGATATTAGAGCAGCTAAAAGAAAGTTCATGTATGTTAAGTACCTTTAAATTGTCTCTAGAGACTGAATTAGCTGCAGTTTGTGATTGCACTCAGGTTTGTCTTGTGTTGGCCATGTTGAGGGTTTAGTTCATTTCATAAGCCTCAAAAACAATGAGGTATAGTGAAAGAGAAATTTGAAATTGCAACAAGAAACATTCATATTCACTGAGGCCACATGCTCTTGTGGGATGAAATGCCACACAAGTTTTTACAGCTGTTTAGGAAGGAAAGTGTTTCGACTTCTCTAAAGCTAAACTCTCTGCTTTGCAAAATCACTATCAGGCTAAAGTTCTATTCCTTGATCTAAGTGAAGGCTAGACAGTTCTGTTCATTTTGTGAGAACTTCTTAAACTGTAAACTTTTACTCTATGTACTTTTCTGTATATTCCATATTTTAGTAAAAACAACTCTTAGGAACAAACTCATCGAATTAAAGTGCACCTGCGTTGATAAGCAGAATGGACCGCGGTACAGATGGCTAGGAAATCTTCAGACTCTGCGATAGCCTATATAGAAAGTAGAGCTCTGGAAACATTACCAGGACAACATTAATTAGGACTTGTTTAAAAAAATCGTCCGTTTATCTGAGTTAGAGCTTTTATCTGGTTGTTTAGTATCCATGTCAATCCTTCTTCCCATTGAAATATTATAGCAAGGATGTACCCTTTAGCTGGGAGAGCAGAGGCATGTGGAACAGTACCCTGCCTGGTGAAAGTAGGCTAAATTTTACATATGGCTTAATCTTGTTCTATCTTTATATATGTGGTTTTCTTAATTTACATAATGATTTCTCTCATTGTGTTTTAGAGGGATATAAAGGGCAATCCATGAAAGTTGGGTTTCCACTTAAGAAATAGAGTAGTCAAATCCAGAGACTAAAATAATGATCATGAGATGATGTTTTTTAAATATGAGGTTTTTTTTTGAAAGAAATGATACCATGAACAATCTATAGGAACTTAAGACCAAAAAAGGACAGATCATCCAGCAAAAATGCCTCTCCCAAATCTACATCAGCCATTTGATGTTTTGAGTTGTTTATACTCCAATTAAGCCAGCACCTTGTTCAGTTAACCTCCATTTGACCTACAGAAAAAGCAAGTTGTTTTTCTGGAGCTAGTCATTAGTTGAACTGTAACCGATATTCCCCTGATGGCAAAACTTCATTTAAGTTGAAAAAGGAAAATCAATAAACAGATGACCTGAGGACTAATGAGCAAGGAGCTCTGACCCTGTCCATCAGCCTTCCCCAAGGCCCAGGAATGCAGGCCAAAAGCTGGAGGCGCGGGAAAGGCTGGACCAGGCCCTGCACAATGATGGAGGTTACCTGGGAGAAGGCGATTCCAAATGCCACTCCAGCGATGATCCCCATGTTTGTCTCCATGAAACTGGTCACCAGATCATAACAACCCTGGAAACAGAGAGAAGAGGTCTTGGAGTTGTGTTTTAGCCAGGTCAGGCCTGCTATGTGCGCTTGCAACTCTCATACCCACCCCAACTTTAATTGAGCAAATATAATCACAATTCATCCTGGGAAATGACCAGCACTCTATTCAAACAAATAGACGAAAACTAACAAAAAATACAAACATACAAAAAAGTACAGAGAGTAGCAGAGACAGCAGTACAATGAACCCATACACAACACTTCCTCCGACACTATAATTAACAGATGGCCAATCTTGTTTCATGTAAACCTCCCCCAAACGCATTCCCTGACTAACTACTATAAAGCAAATCCCAGATTTAATTTATCAACAAATGTCTTAGTAGTAGGATTAAATTTAGTAAGAAATCTGTAAGCTCTATGAAGCAAACACTGTAGAGATAAGGGAAGTAGACATGAATAGATGAAAAGACATAAACCTGAACAGGAAACCCTAGCATCATAAACATAATTACTAGTATTTACATGAAGAGCGACAACATCTTGAAAAACAGAAAAATCATCTGGTTAGAGGGAGATGTTTGAATACCTGCCAACATTATGGAGTTTTAGATTTATTTCTAAGGTGGCAATTATAATTTTTTAAAGTACCAAAATCTTGCATTCTAGAGTTAACTTTTCCAAAAATTAACCATGTGACCTTCAACAAATCATTTCCCCTTTCTGGATGTAAATAGTTTTATCTATAAAATGTGGATTACCATAAAGGTGGACTTCCCTTTAACATATTATAAAATCTGTCAAGTCATGATTAAAACCAATAATTATCATCACTTTCAATTTTAGTTTAAAACTGATGAAGTGAGTTACCTTTCTTTAAGATGAATGATCTGGCTGCAGTTCAGCAGTGTTGTTAAACAAGTTTTTTTTTTCTGATTATTATTCTGGATAACATTTTATCATCCTGGTCCAGATAGAAAACACCAGATATTGTGCATCACCCAGAGAGCAAAGGCAAAAGCTGACTCTTCTTGTGAAGCCCCTTTCAGGCCAGGTGGTACAACGTGTGGTTGTGTTAGTGTGCATGAGGTGTGTGCACGTATGTGTGCACATACACGTGTGCGAATTTATTTGTAATCAGCCAAATCAACCTAGAGTCTTGGACTGACTTATTCAGCTAGAAGACATGGTCTTTTTCTAGTTTTCTGATAAAAGGCATTGACTTCAATATATAAAGTGTGTGCAAATGAAAATATTAATTCAATAAAAAAGATAAATTATTTCTTGTTTATTAAGAAATCTACACCAAAATTTCAGCCCCTCCAAATTCAAAGACCCAATCCAAAAATGGGCAGCGGAGATGAATACACACTTCTCAGACAAGGAGATACAAATGGCAAATAAATATATGAGAAAATGTTCAACATCATTAGTCATTCGAGAAATGCAAATTAAAACAACACTAAGATTCCACCTTACCCCAGTAAGAATGGCTAGCATTAAGAAATCAACCAATAACAAATGCTGGCGAGGCTGTGGAGAAATAGGAACCCTCTCCACTGCTGGTGGGAATGCAGACTGGTGAAACCACTGTGGATATCAGTTTGGAGATTCCTCAGAAAACTAGGCCTAGAGGTCCCATTCAACCCAGCTATCCCCCTGCTGGGTATTTTCCCAGAAGATCTAAAAACATCATATCACAGTGATGTATGTGCACCCATGTTCATAGCAGCACAATTTGTAATTGCTAAAATGTGGAAGCAACCCAAATGTCCATCCACTGAGGATTGGATAAGAAAATTGTGGTACTTTTATATAATGGAATATTACTCAGCTGTAAAGAAAGATAAACTCGAGGCTTTTATAGGCAAATGGTCACAACTAGACACCATACTCATAAGCGAAATAAATCAAACATACATGTGCAAGCACTGCATTGTTTCTCTAGTGTAAAGCCTGAAAGAGTTAATTTAATCTAGGAGATATGATAGACATTGAGAATTGATAGGAAAGCACTCATAGGTAAAGGATAACTGGGATATGGGAAAAGAGAAGGGAAAGAAGGAGAAAGTTTGTATATATGTATATGCAGGATAGTTAACACGGGTGTTCTACTGTCCTGTATTTCCTTGCTGAAAGAAACTGTCAGTGAGGCATTGGTTGATTAGCTTTGCATGTCTATATGTGTTTTCATGAGAAACTACATTGAAGATATCAATATGTAATACAATAAGCATTGTTAATTCCCTACCACTCTGTAACTCTGTAATGTCTGTACTGATCCTATGCTATTTTGTAAAATGTTGTCGGTCTGTTAGTATTTTCCTCCTTTTATTTCTAAAATAAAAAAAATAAATAAATATTAGCCATTATTATAAAAAAAAAAAGAAATCTACACCAAGTTGTAATAACATCAGGAGAGTAGCAACAACCAATACTCCACTATGGCTCCCATTTTTAAATCCAGATCTTAACAATTTAGCATTTCTCATAGCTTGTGAAAATTCTAGCAATGTCGTATCTTGGAAATGAGATTTTATATTCCTAATGTTAGCAGCGAAAAGGTGCATTCACTTAGCAGAAGAGCTCTGACACATGGTTTCCATGAAATTCACAAACTACTCTTTAGTTATCTGATGCAAATATAAAGAGAGGAGAAAGCACATTATTGTCTGAGGAGAGTTATGGAATTTGACTGTCTCTACCAGGAGCTTGCTGATTTCACCTTTACTAGTGAAATGATACATCACGCTACTTTTGCAAAGGTAGCAGGAAGAGGTCAAAGCAGAAAGAGACGTGGATGCTCTAATACTTTCCCAAATGATAGCAGCTAACATAGTGTTTGCCAAGGTGGCCATCATTACTATATCTTCTCCCCACGGTGATGGTGGGGTGGAAGAATGAGACCCAGCCAGCCACATGGTTTGGGCAGCTCAAACTACGGAAACACAAACTCGATACTATCCAGAAAGAAGCAGTATGGGCTGTTTCCTTACTCTGTAAAATGTTTTGGTACAGACCCCCACCCCTTCCAGCGTGCCTTCGATTCTACACATAAGCTGAGTGTTTTTCCAAAGTATTAGTTATACTCCATGTTCAGACTTTTTGTTTGGTTTTGGTGGTGCTGGGGATGGAACACAAGGCTTTGTGCATCCCGGGCAAGCACTCCCACCATGGAGCTGTGTTCCTAACTCCATTTTTTGGAGATTTGTGGAGTCATTTTATTTTTGATAAGCTTACTGTAACCAGGAAGAGGAATCAGAAAAAAATGAAAGAACTAACTGGCATTAGCACAGAAGTGGCAAACTGTTCTCTTTAAACCATATCCCTCAATGTATAGTTCTTAAATAAACAGTACTGTATCACTGTGGGCTTCTGAGGGGCCAGACCCACAGAATCAGCACATGCCACGTCCTGGGGTTATTCATATTTACCACATTTTAAATGAATTTAAACAAGATCTCCAGTTTCCTCACGCTTTCATTAAAGTTTGAAGAGCACCTGTCTGTAAGAAAATATCCTCTATTTTTTACTCCACATAAGAAAGCAAATTTATGCATCAGTAATAGGATTAAACAAAATGAGAAGATGAAAGTGAAATTAAAGTGTTTTTCATCTCTGGATTTTTTCTCTGTTATTCACTACATGGACCCAGGGCCCATTTTACGTGGACACAGAGCCCATTTTCCAAGTCTTAGCATTGTTCTGCAGACTGCAAAGACTGCTTTGAAGCTACAACCACAGGCCATGTTTGCATTCAACCTTAAGTTCTGCACTAAAGAGTGATCTTATCTGCCCACAACCATCTTTCTCAATTTCCTAATATGAAAGCCTTGTTGTGAGGCATGAGATAAATCTACAGAGACCGGCTAAGTCTCCTAGGAAACACTCAGAAACAGAACAGTTAATTTGCTCACCCTCTCAGCATGTCTAAATCAACACAGTCACCAATGGAAACCATCTGTGGGCTTTAACTATTAGGAGGAGAAGGCTAGTTTGAATGAGGTTCTGGGAAGAGGTGTCTCCACAGCTGCTAACCAAAATAACTCTTTCCTTCCCTTGTTCTTACAAACTGCTAAGGTGCGCCTGTGGAGGAGGGGTTCAGCCAGTGCTAACAGCTGACTGAACATGCAGACATTTCATCATCTCACTAGCAAAAACCAAAATCAAGTCTGTCCCTTAAACCAAGCAACAGATAACCCGTGTTCATACCTCCTCCCTCCTGCTTCCCCCCGGTAATCTATGTAATGCAGGTTTCCTCGGGCTGCCAGGGAAGAGCGAAAAATCATCTTTCCGGGCTATCAGAGTGTATGATTCAAAAAGCAAAAGATCTATAGGGATGATCTATTTATTCTAAACCACAAGACTGCATACAACTGGACTGCGGTGGTAGTTAAGCTGTCCTGGGGAAAGAAGTCGGTGGTGGGCACAGTGACATTTACGAGCACCTACTAGTATTGTCTCCACTCTGTCCCTATCTCCCACCGTTTTATAGACAAGATGTCCATGAAACTCGGGAGAAATAATTTCTCTCAAAGGTTCGTGTGGGTGTTAAATGAGAATGTCTAATGGAAATCAGTAGAAAATTTCATTTTCCATTCACTTTCACTCCTCTGAAGGAGCCAGATTGCAGAGTATATGGGCAGTGAGGAGGAAGACAAATACATTATTCAAGTATGTGAGGGGTCCAGAGAAATACAAAATAGGATGGCACTGGGAAAGGGGAGCATGAGGCCAGTGTGTAGTTTGTCAATAAAATGAAAAAAACTGCCTATCTTTCTTTCTAGAAATAATTGTATGGATTACAGATCATTATAGGATATGCCCACAAACTTTCCTACAAGAACCTGCTGCATCATTTCTCATAAATAGACAGTGTGGTAATGTGGGAGACAAACTTCATCACCACCATGATCACATTTACACTTCAGTTTACATTTCTCATTATAGCTGATATTTATAGTATTGTTAGTGTATGCCAGTTACTGGGGTTTAGGTAGTTTATATGATTCAATCCTCATATCATTTCTAAGGGGCACCAACTATTCATAGCCCCATTGTACAGATGAAAAAAGCAAGACTGAGGTGGGTCGAGTAACTTAACCAACATCACACAATGAGCAAGTGGGTGAAGCAGAACTGAAACCAGAGTTATACTCGAGACACTGTGCCCCTGGCTCTGGATCTTTAACTTTCACAAGACAAAAAGCAGTTTGGGCAAATAAGACTTTTGCAAAAGTTGCTGGGTGCTGCGTTTGCAGATTAGACTCAAGAGCAAATATCTCACACTACCATAGATCACTTCCTGTCTTCCATAAACTGGAATGTCCACCATGTGCCAAGCATGTGTGATACTGCATAAAATGTCAGCCTAGTGACACACATGGGTGCTCAGTGGGGATGTCCATGAAAAAGAAGTCATCCTATTAACTAATGAGAGGTGAGGAAGGCGTCAAAGTTTGGGTTCATAAAAAAATCCTAATAGGAACAGATGTTCTCTCAGCTCAGACAGGAAGCTGTCAGTACTGAAGCTTACTGAACCACACCAGTAGTGAAGTAATAAACTCAGAATGACAAAATGCGCTTCCAGCACAGCGACAATGCCTTGCAGCACTCACATTACAAATACCAACATTAAATGGGTGAAATACAAAAACCACCTCTTAACATTCTATTCTTGGGAAAATGGCTATCATCTCTCTATGAATTATTCAGTAGTTGGCTGAGATCACATAGAATTTTGAAGATATCAGAATAGAATTTTATCTTCATAAGAAAAGAAAATTTTCCCTACAGCTGAATAACCACAGGTAAACTCAAGAGTAGATTTTTCTCTCCCCTTTGTTTCACCTATTCATATTTTTGCATATGCTATTCCTCTAAATGTGTAAGAATAAAGATAGCTTTCACATGCAGTTGTATCATGTCTTTATTAGGCTCTGTAAGGTGGAATACAGAATTAATGTTCCCTGTCTCTACTGAGACTTCATTCCCTCATTTGCACTGTGGACTAACATTTGAATTTCCTTTAGTCATCTTTTTTCCCTCTTATTTCTTTGCGAGTCAGGATGTTGACAGTGAGTTGAGTTGGAGTTGCTGACTTCTTTTCTCACAACTGTGAACTCCTTAAAATAAAGGTCACCCTCCTAGCAGAAGCAGAGGCTCTATATCAACTCTACTCTCTTCTTTCTGCCAAATACTGGCAACCAGCAGTGAAAAATTTCATGTTTAGATGGTTTATTAAGCAGAAGAAAGACACCCAGAAAGAAGAAAGCCAACGTTCTCCGCCTGACACAAGCATCAGGGTTAAGAGGAACCACTTGCTAAACCTGCATAACTGTGCCTGGTAGATGCTTGCTGTGGGAGAGCAATGTGAGGCTGATCTGAGTAGCAGCTTAATCTTTTAGAAGTGAGCAGCCTCAAGTGCCTCTCCCAGGCAATCAAGGACCACAAAGGAAGACACTTGACTCCCTCCTGGACTACCCTTTCTAACCTACGTACCGTAATTTCACAGAAACAACAAAGCCCTCCCCAACATTCACCGGAGACCCATCATAGCTGGAAGGAGGCAGGTACCTTCTGGTTAACTTTTGTGGCAGCCACAGTCAGATTGTGGAGATCCTGGGGATTACAATCAGTTTCGTTCATGCAGCAACTGGGGGGGATGCCGTGCTCCAGGAAGTAGGGGCTGGTGCTCCAGTTGGTGTAGTTCTGCACGCCACAGCAGCTCAGCTATTAACAGTGCAAAGGAAAGAATCAAAGAGTGAAAGATCAAAAACATTGTGGTCTCCTCTTTCACTGCCCTGTAACTTTTAAGAGAGACAAGCTTAGGCCGAGCTCCTAAGACAACATGTACAGCTGCAGTGAGGAAAGGTGAGCTGCAGCTCCACTACCATTTATCCTCATTGTGGTGCCCATTTGAACTCAGCGAAGGAAGTGAGTCAAGATCATATATCCATTAGCACCTCCACAGAGGAAGCGGTGCTTCTCCACCCTGGCTAGGCATGACAATCACCTGTGGAAGTCAAGCGCTGTTGAAGATGCACATGTGCACATGAACTCCATCAGGATGGTTGTTGGGGGAGTTGATGTGATAATGGTTTTTAAAAGCTTTCTGCCGGATCTACACTAAGTCAGTAGATGGTTTGGAGAAAAAAGATGCGCACAGAAGAAAAGAGAGAGCTGGTGTTGGTAAACCACAACCCATCACCTGCATCTTTTTGTAAACAAAGTTGTACTGAGAAACAGCCAGGCATATTGTCTGTGGCTGCTTTTGTGCTATGGTGGCATAGTTGAATAGTTTTGAACGAGAGTGCGAGGCCCTCATAAGCTAAAATATTTACTATTTAACCTCTTACTGAAAAGGTTTGCCCTATAGAGAATATTGAAGCAAGTGGGAAGATATATTAAATTGGTGAATCTGAGCTATGTAAGTTTGAAATTTTACCAAAATCTATCAAAAATATTGTTTCTAAAATTATATTAAACAAACACCTCAAAAAACAAGAACAAGCAAAGCCATAAACCTCCTCAGGGATCCTGATGGGCAGTCAGGATTCAGAGCTAGCATGCATCATCCTAAGCACCTACAGGGAAGAAAACTCTCTTTTACTTCTTTGCTGTTCTCTGTAAAGCACCAGGCCACCTGTGGCCATTTGTACACCTGCTGGATCCTCAGTTTTTTCTGGGTCCATACTCCACCCACACTACCCTGTCTCTAGACAGTGAATACAGCTGGCCCAAGCTCTCCGTCTATCCTGAAGAACTGACTCCAGAGAACCAGCCTTGGGCAGTCAATTCTAATCTAGACTGGCAAATGTTCAGCACCTAACCCCTTTTCAGATTTTAAGGGAAGAGGAGCTGTCCTGGGAATTCTGTCACAAGCTTTACTGATGCAAGGCATCCTTAAGGGAGTAATCATCCTCAACACACATTCGCTGGAGAGCTGGATCTTGGACAAGTGCTAAGAATCAACTCTGGCAAATGGAACCGGACCAAGAGTTGGTGAACAAGAACCAACTGCAAATGCTGCTGGCTCAATCTATTGGCTGCCTAAAAGTCTTAGCCCAGATCTTGCGTCCTCGTCTCCTGCCTTGAACTTACGCTGCGCTGCACATGGTCCACAGCCCGGCTCCGCTCATCATTGCCGTTGTAGTTCTGCATGGCATCCATGTAAGTCCTCAGGAAAGTGTCCTTAATCTATAGAAGATGGGGGAGAGGGGTTGTGTGGTTTCAGTCCACTGTAGCCCAAACTGATTCAGATTCATACTAACATCCACCACGGTGTAGCCTGTTCTAAAAGCCTCTGGATAAGTGTAGGTCAGAGAGGGAATGTTCTGTATTCTGAGACAAAAGAGCTCAAAAATTTAACAAGAGGAATTTTAAAAATTGCTTCCCTCGCCTCTAATCCTGGCCTGTTAAATGAGCCCCTGAGGTAGCTGGTCAGTTTCTGAAAGGGCTGTGATGGTGAATGGCCAAACCTCAAGGCATAAATTCCCCTGCTATTTTTTTTTTGCTCATCTATCTTTCTGTAACTTTCTTTGCCCTTATGAAGAAGACATAATAAAGGACAGGCCATTGGGTGACAGGAATACTGATGTTTTGTCTAAAAACTGATCCCAATTCTAACATAAAGCAGATGGGTAAACCCAAGTTTCACGTAGTTGTCTTTACTGAGGCCAAAATAAAGAAGCTAAAGCACAAACACTTTTCTCGCTGATAAAAGGTTAACAAACCCATTCTTCTTCTCTATGAACACGTTTGACCTTGGGGTACTATTCAAGCTCTGTTCCCCTGGAAACCTGATGAAAGCGGTGTGTTAATAGGCAAGCTGGCTTATAATACAATTGAACCCTGATGGGTGAAATGGCTCTAGATTGGGACGACAGCAAACGATAAAAATTGCCTGGTGGGATGCTTAGGGCTAAGTATAGTGACCTTCTTACTTAGGCATATTCCTTGCTGAAATACTGGAAGCTATATCCAGGAGATGGTTATAAGGGATAAAGAGACACTCGCTACAAGCAGCTTCTAAGCCAAGATGGCTACTACACTAAGCTGTGTTATCTGACTTTGCCGCACTTGCACTGTCTCTCAGGTTGGGGACTTATCCACAGAATAGACCTTGGACCACTCTGAGGACTCACGCTAAAGAAACAAGTCTGAATCTCTCTGAATAAACAGCACTAAGTGTGATCTACTGTCACTATGTAAGCTTGACTGTTTAACTAAACTCAAGACTGTAACTGGCCAACAGAGAGTGGCATTGCCAACCCTGCCCACTGTACCCCTAAGTGCTTCAGATGAACAGGTTAGGGAGATGACGTCTTGATCCCTAGGGAGCAGTAACTGTTTTTACCCGCAAGCTGGGCATGGTGGTTTCCACAACTCAGGGAGGCTGAGGCAAGAGAATCACAAGTTTGAGCCCAGCCTAGGCAACTTAGACCCTCTCAAAATTTTAAAAAAGGGCTGGGGATGAAGCTCAGTGCAAAGGCTTTGGATTCAATTCCCACAAATAAATATGTAAGAAACCCCCACTAGGAGGGCAGTAACCCAAGAGGGAATAGACAAGGGTTCATGGAGGAGTGAGTCAGACTGCTTCTAGTGTTCACAAATACTCTTGGAACGCTGTTAGGGCTGTGGAGGCCATAACCTCCTTGTCTTTCATGTCACCTAAGAATAATAATGGGGGCGCTACAGTTTGGATTTGAAATGTCCCCAAACGTCCATTGTGTTAAAAGCTTCTTTGCCAGCTGATGGTGCTGCTGGGAGGAGGTGAAACCTTTAGGAGGTAGGGATTACTATGTTTTTGGAGGAAGACAAGTCAGTGGGGCTATGTTCTTGAAGGAAATATTGGGACTCCTGTCACATTCCTCTATTTGCTTTCTGGCTGACATGAAATGAGCAGCTTCCTCTACCATATGCTTGCACCATGATGTACCGTGCTGCCATAGGCCCAATGCCACAGGTGCAAGCAAACATGGACTGAAGCCTCTGGCACCATGAGCCAAGATAAATCCTTTCCTCCCTCAAATTGTTTACCTTAGGTATTCTGTCATAGTAACAGAGTTGGCTAACACAGAAGGTCTAATTCTAGACACAGTACTCATATAAAGTTAGTTCTGAAAGTCAACTTTGGCATCTGGGGTGCCATATCCAATAAAGGGAAAAATCAGAAGAAGAGAGAAAGAAGCAGAATGGATGGTAAGCTCCTGGAGAACTTAACTCAGCCAAGCACAATAGCAGGGGCTGGGAAGGGATTATGGCAGACTTTCAAGAGCCACAGTAACACTCTGCTACACTATGTTCTCAATGTATATCTTGTTTTCCTGTTCTTCTACATGCTTATCTACTTCTGCCTTTACTGCTATGTTTGGTGTACAATAATGGTTATGGGGCAGCAAGACAATTAGTTTGGTTTGTCTTTATAGTCTCAGAAATCTTGTTAGACAGAAACACACGTGCCTTGATAACGCAGCTATTTTTAAAGAAGTATTTAATTTATATTGCAGGTTACTACTTTAAAATAGAGTAGAGAATCATTTTATGTAATAGGTACACAGAGAAAGAGAGTGAAGACCAGCAACGGAGGTTTTGAGTTTGGTAAAATTCCTCCATTTACAATTTCACTGGATTTTCAGGCCACATTGCAAAACATTTGGAAGATGATGAGAAAACCAGCTAGTATCCACGCACTCTGTACATAGTTCAAGCTCTTTCAAAAATCCTGCTTCAAAGACCCTTGACCTAAACTCTCTACCTTGTATATACTCACCTCATGGCGGAATACAAACCCTGAAATACCAGCTACAAGCTCAGCCAGGAACACCAGTGACAGGAACATGGCATACTGAAAAGCAAGTGGATAAGAGCTGAGTCAGATGTCAGGGTTAAGAGGAGAGCTTTTTTAGGGTGAGTTACTTCTTACCAGAAGGAATTAGATAAGCCCTCATACTCCCTAGACAAAGTTTAAAAAAAAGTTTTAGAAGACTCTTCTCTAGATTTACCCACATGAACCTCAAAAGAGGAGTGAGTCTGTTTTTTGTGCATTAGCATCTGGGCATACACATGTGGAGGAAAGCTCATCAGAGACTAGCATTGTGACTGCCAGCTCAGTTCAACCAGAAGACACCTGAGAGGACCATTTACAACCACGGTGTCTGCTATACCTAACATCACAGTCTCTGAGCTAAGGAAAACAAAAATGGATCTAGAGTTCACAGGACACAGTTCTATCTTATTAGAGAGTCTTTTTTCCACCTTCTTCATGATGGGCCATCTACATCTTCAAGTCCAACCCCCAGAGCTTGTTCTGCTTTGTGACTGTCCTAGCTGTTGGAAAGACTTCATTTTCATGGGTCACAACTTTTCCTGTTTCTTTCTTTTTTTTTTTGCTTGCTGTATTCTGTCAATTACTGCTTCCCTAAAACAAATTTTCACGTGCTTATCCATATTGTCAGTATAAGTGAATTATAAGGCCAAGACAAAGCTGCAAAGAGGTTTCTCTGGAGGGTTCCTCCATCCAAAATTTTGTACAGGGGTTTTAAAAACATCAGCATCTTAAATTCAAGCTCATGGGGCTAGGGGCAGTGGCACAGGCCTGTAATCACAGCCCTCTAAAGGCTGAGGTAGGAGGATCGCCCCAACTTTGAAGCCAGCCTGGACTGCACAGTGAGATCTGTGTTTGGGTTGCTCACTTCTCCTTCTGGAGTTAGAGTCCAGGTTCTTCTTGTCTCGAACAAAGAACTGGGCAAAACAAACAAAAAGCAGCAGCAAAGTTTATTTGAGTAAGCAAAAGAGGAGTGGGAGACAAACTGGTGCTGGGGAGTGAGCCTGGGTCGGGTAAAGAGAAAGAGAGGGTAAGAATACAGCATGGGCTATAGCCCTATGATAGCCCTGTTTCTAATTTCCACTTGCTAGTGTTGGTTCTGCCTCTAAGAGATACAAGAACGCAACCTCTCTAGTATACGTGAGCCCTTTGCATTTGTGCACATAGCCAACATGGTAACTTGCTGGTTCGCTGCGTTTAGGCAAACTCCCCTACTTTACTTGGCTACCTCTTATACGAAATGGCTGCAAAACCACTTCATTTGGAAATGTACTCCTCCCATCTGGACCCAAAGACCAGAATGTGTATAGGAGGCAGGGCCTCTTTAATATGATGGTCATCCCTGAATACAGTATCCTCAGCAGAAGGAATTAGATAAGCCCTCATACTCCCTAGACAAAGTTTAAAAAAAGTTTAAGCTTTGGAGCTACTTACTTCTCTATTCTGGACACTGCATGGAATCTGTAGCCTTTAAAAAAGCAAATACTATATGCTACACTGCTAACAAAACTTGCAAGTATCGAAAACCCTTAGTGCTTCTCATCTAACGCTACCCATATTTCCTAAGGCAACTGCGCACGTGTATGCGCACATGCAAGTTCAGGGATATTACACGGTACTTAGGAGATATTAAGGGTTTCCATTTCTGTGACTTTGAAAAGCACATAAAAGGAAGGAGAATTGATTCCTTACGAACAAGGCATATGTCTTACAACCTGCTTCTTCTCATCTCAAAATGAAATACAACAGTTCTGAACACTTACAATGGCCTAAAATGGTGCTATGGAATTTGGATGGACTGCACATGGCCACATTACTTACCTGGAAAGTATACATATGTGCAGAGAATCATAAAGTATTTTTCTTAGCTATTGGCACATATATACATATATGAAGAGAAGGAAATACCATCTTAAAATACCAATTTTTTTCTAAATATTTACAAAAATCTCTACAAACACACAGCCACTAAAATATGAAATGCAGTCATAATATTCTATGTATACAACCTCTCTCTCTCTCTCTCTCTCTCTGTCTGTCTCTCTCAACTTTGTACAAAATATAATTAGAAACATACATCACTCTGGGGAGAATCTTACATCGAGCCTAGAATCCAACAGAAAGTTGTGTGGGAATGTCACTGTCAAGAGGCAGGTAGGAGAAAGGACATTTGTCTTTGTGGTCAGAACACCTCCTAGGACTAACTCTTAAGCAAAAGGTCGTCTCTCGGGGCCTCTATACAGCATAAATAGTTATTGTCAGTGGTTTTGCAATTACTGAGGTTAAACGATAACTAAGATTCTAGACTGACAGTTAATAAGGGACTTCTATCTCACAATCCAGATGAGCAGTGTTCTGTGTCTCACAGGTCCCTTGCCTCTGGAACTTCCAGAGTAGCTGCTTCACCTACAGAAGGCCGAGGCCAAAAGTCTATTGAGAAGAGCTTGTACTGCATACAGGCCGTAGGGCTTAGAGTTTCTTTTCCAAATGAAAACACTGGGGGTGAAAACAGTTCTAGATCTGGAAAGACATATACGTGGGTTCAAATCCAAGCCATCCACACATTAGCTGTGAGTTTATCTAACTTCCTTCTATCGTATAACATGGAAATACAACCTATGCTTCAAGGTGGTGATGAGGAATTAAAGTGATATGCACAAAGAGCACGTAGCATGTAACAGAAAATAAATAAAATTTTCAAAGACCAAAATCCAAAAACTTCTCTATTCCCCAAAAGGCTCACCTGCCAGTGAACTCTCAAGTGTTAGAAGAAAATGGCAGTGTAGTGTGAAACCTCCTCTAAAATAGGCTAGAGACAATCATTCCATCATTTTCACACACCCTATGTGGGCTATTATGCTCAGCTATGGGGAAGTTCTGCCTCAAAAACACATGCAGTTAGAACACAAAAATGTCTCCTCTTTTACCCCTTTTCAGTCATAGTATTTGGACTGGAAGAAACTTTGATGATTTACTTCAATATTATTTTTTCATAATTGGGGACATAAGTCTGGAAAGATTACATTCTTGCCACTAAAGACTTAACTTAAGCAAGTTATTGCTGGATCACCAGGTTTCCTCTTGTTTGGAAAGCTGATTTTCCAGTAATCTTTCTTTTCTATGTCTTTAAAGTTAATTCTCCCCCTGCTCTTTATTATACCAAACAAAATTCTCAACACTAGGTATAAAATAGAGTTGTCTAAAACTGTCTATAATGCTTTTTAGAAAATGCGATGCCAGGGCCTTACCAATAAAGCTTCTACTGCAGGTAGATGGAAGGACCCTGGCAAACATATTTTCAAAAAGCTGCTCAGGTGATTTAAACATCCATCTACAGGTGAGGCCCACGGTGCTAGGGAGATCAAACCAAGCTCTAGTTCTTATGAGAAACACTAGAACTTAGATTCAGGATGCCTGGGAAAAGTGTCAGGGGATAGCAACAGAATTGTCTCAATAAGCCTCATTATGGTTTTCCACCAACCTGCAAGAACTAGCGGAGCCCAAGGCATTAGTTTCCTGTGTGGTATGGAGGAAAGAAGGCAGTCAAGTCACGCACCACGCCCATGAGGTTCCCAACAAAGACACTGCCTCAGCAACACCATTGTTCCTGTGCAGTGAATTACTGTCACACCCAAAAGTGTCACCAGGTGGCATTAAATGTTATTACATCCCCCAGCTCAACAAGGACTCAGTGCAATCTACTTCTCCCTTTCTAAAATAACTCATTTTAAACAAAATTTTCTTTTAAGGAGAGAGTTCTTTGCTAACTTTTATCTATAAAACTCTTCAACATCAATCCTCATCAAAGAAGAGCATAGTAAAACGGAAACTAGGCAACTGGTGTACCAAAGTTAAAAATCATGCTAATGGCCTTCCAATAATCTACCCTCAGTGGTGGCACATGCCTGGAATTCCAGCACTCAGGAGGCTGAGGCAGGAGGATTGTTGCAAGTTAGAGACCAGCCTGGGCTACATAGTGAGTTCAAGACCAGCCTGAACTGCATAGAGAGACCCTGTCTCAAAAGACAAAAAAAATACAAATAATCTACCCTCATGCTTGGAGATATATCACTGCTTTGTCTGTTCTGTGAGAGGACAGGCATCCAACAATAGTCCTGGTAGCTGATACATGGCAGTGTATCAACTCTCTGACTAAGATTCTGTGGCCTAGCTCAGCTTCCATAGCACTGAGACAGGGCACATGGGTTTTGTGAAGAGCATGCAAATGCATCCATGCATGGCCAGGCTCAACAGGCAGGAAGAATTTCTCCAACGGAACTTGGAGATGAAAGGCTACTTATACTCTGGATGATGCGCTGCCTACTAAAACTGCATGTCACATGTTTGAGAAGATTGCTAAGCCAGAGTTCAAAACTAGGTCAGGGCAACTTGCCAGGAAGACATCAATGGCCAATTAGAACTACTGGCCAGTGCTTTGTCACCATTTACCTCAAGAAGCTGAGACTGGGTTTATCGTGCCAGGCTATAATGGGGATTGTTTTTCCCACTGGGTGGATTAATGGGTGGGCTAGATAAGAATCTGAGCTAAAATTAGAATCAATGAATATTAAGGTTTTGTTGTTGTGGCCTCCAGAAGGGTTATTTCATCATCTTATGAGTTAGAATTGTACAAAGAAATGACAGGGAGGGCAGTACCATGTGGTGACCTACTCACCAGTTTCAGCATCCATGGGCTCCCGCGGCACGTAGCAAAGCACCCAAACAACCCAAAAACGACGATAGTGGTGCCGGTTCCGATGAGCACATAGGGCGCATTTGTGGAGTTCTCAGCAATGAGGGAGATATAGGTGCCCAGAGTAAGCTTTCCCCAGACTCCAACAGCCAACAGGATCACCCCAGTGATCTAAAAAGGAAAAGAGGGGAGTGTGAAACCACTGATGAGAGGTAAGAACCGACCCCGAGTAATGTGGCCAAACTGGAAGGGCCAAGTTTTCGTGAGCAAGGTGGTACCTGCTGAGCAGTGGGAAATTCTTCAACTAAAACCATCACACAGTGAAGACACTTTGGTTTTGTACAAGTAGATCTGCCCCTTACACAACCCCGTGTGTAATTATTGTGTTCAACCGGAAGTCAAGCCGACAAGAAGAAACACAGAAGCTGCTTTAAAAATACATCGTAAGACAGATCTGAGACCTTTCCCTCAGCTGCCTCCTGACACTAAGTTGGGTACAATCCTGGGAGCGACGGTGGCCAGCCTCTTTGAAGGAAGGCATGTATGTATATGTTTGAAGGACTTCCTATATGAGGTATTAGGAACAAGGTGATTCGCTTTAACCATTAGCACCAAAATCTCTATAAAAACAAAGCATTCCGAATATTTTTTAATCCTTATTGATGTGCTATTTTATTTATAATACTCTCTTCAATCTGAAACAACAGAAGGATCTGAGTAGTTCCTGGAGTTAGCTATACTGCAATTTGTCCAAGCCCACTGATCAGTCCAAAGAAAACCCACACAGCACCTCTAAGTTAGGTCCCTACTTCAAGGCACAGCCTTGGGGCTGAAGGCTATGCCTTACTCTTCATCTCCCGCAGGCTATAGGTTTCAGCAACTTTGGCCGCTGAAGTCACAGATTGCTTTGTGTCCCTAACCATCTCCCCAGCTGAAGGATATCTCCTCCAGCTCACCAACTGGTTGGGAACATTCAAACTGATAGTCTTCTAAGGACCTCACTGTATGATGCTTGAAAGAAATGTATGTGTTAGAGGAAGCCTTTCCCCAGTTTTGCCCCATCCAAATAGCTCAACATTTGATATCAAAGGCCATAGATTCTGCCTAGACCGTTCAAGTGAATATGACCTTGCCAAGTTTTCCTCTGTCAATCAACACGCTGTTCCTTAACATCTGTAAGTGAACACCGTCAAATATATGCTGCCCCATGAACCAAATGGCTGGGCCAGTTGAAGATGCTCTGACCTCTCTCCTTTATACTCTGAAAACACTGTAGTTTAGAACACCAAACTGCACTATTAGCTTTATTCTCTATGCAGGAAGAATGGGCTGTATACCTTTGCCCACATCAGATAAGGGTAAGCGCTATCTACTTCGATGCAAGGTTCAGTAAAATACAACAAAAGCTTGGTGATACTTTCCTGCCCCGTCCCCCATAGTCTCTTTCTTGTAGAACTGCCATCACTGTGAATGACAGAATTACATTTTACAGTACAAAATGTTTGAGAACTGTGTTACTTTTATTAGGCAAAAGTAAACAACTATGATACAGTCTTCAGGAAAAAGGGCTTGACACTAATATTTGAGAGAAAGTAGCCTCGTGGAGGGTGGCTGCCAAAAGGGATAGCCTTAAGGAATTAAAGAAAACCAGGAACAGATGTTACCAAGAATTACCAATCCTCTGCTGACACCTGGTGGTTACTCAGAAAAAAGTCCTTTCCTTGAACAGCCTCTTCTGCCATACTCCTCCAGATGGAAGCATAAGATGCTTTCACCCACTCCAAATAAAATGTAAGAATCGACTCTGAAATCACTCAGGGTGAGAACGCAGTGAATGCTGTGTAGAACAGGACAGAGTTATCTCTTATTACTCAGTGACGAGCACAGTTCAGGCACACAGTCAATGTTTACTATTCATGGACAAAAAAATCCATTTCCTATCTCTGAGTCTTAGTGACTATATTTTATAAAGCAGAGCCTACGAAATGCCAAATAGGTATAAAATATCTACATCAGATACTCACTGTGAGGTCATTTAAAATGGACACAAAGAGAAACTTTACCTGTACTTTCCACTCTAGCATTGTAAATGTAAACCTGTGACTATCACAGTGTAAATGCTTTGAAAAAAATTCAGTTAAGCAAGTTTAGGCTGAATATAGGCCTCATCTAGAGACTCCTGACTTCATGCGATTGTTCCCAAAGATTCAGTAACACTTTGATACGTACAGAGTACACTACGTGCTACTGCTGTCAATCACTATTAGGATAACTGCTTTCATAAAAATGTATAGTACTGATCAATGACAAGAGTCAGATATACCTACTCATATTTCTGTGACGAGTGATTTCATGAAGTTCAGCTTATACCGTAACAAATCGTATATGCCACATGTCAAAGATTGCACAAATTCTGATTTTTAAGTTTAACAGTATTATGAACATTTTCTTTGGAAAAATAATTTATCCCAGTGTAACCATTACTCTGTCTGTGAAGCATACACAGAGCTGGTCTTCATGAAAAGTACAAAGTCTATAATACCAATCTTTTCAAATACTCATATAATGTAAATCGTACAAATATATTCTTGGAAAAAGACGTCTATTGGACTTCAGTGTCCCTCTTCATGTTTGCCAGTGAATGCACAGAGACACAACACTGCAGGCACCATGCTGCATGGAAGAAAAAGTTTAACATTCTGGTCTTGAGTAAATCAGTCAGCCTCAAAGAACTCATTCTCTGAATGATGTGGGGACTGAGTTATACAGGCTCCTTTCAACACCAATATGGTTAGGAATCTAAGAAAAAGTCACATAGGAAAAGCCTTCTCTAATGTTGCTACTGTTATTCAAATACTCCTGACAGAGAATCTCTGTGTTTGGAAGCCCCAATTCCACATGTATATACACCCATGCCCCTTTTATACACATTCCAGCTAGCCTTGTCATCCGTATGTCCCTTGCTACCCTTTATGCATCCCATACAGTTCTAGGAAAACTGAGCTGTTCTCCGTGCAGTTTCCAACATTTGGTCTTGATGGTAGTACTTAAAATTTCTATTCTTCCTATCACTTCCTATCTTCAGTCTACTCTTAGAGTACACAATGTACCTACTCCTCCCAGCCTGAACTTATTCTATACTATGTCTTGATCCTGCTTGACCCCCCCCTTCCCATGCACATCCAGGATGACACATGTACTGCATACTTTGAGCAAAGTCAAAGTCCATACATGCCCACTGAATGAATAAATAAAGAGCCAACGGTGGAGTTAAAGAACAGGAAGGTTTGTGTTAGCCTTCCATCTATTATACCCTCCAAACATCTGTGAGGAGCTCTCAAAATTGGTAAGAATGCCAATCTAACTCATTTAGATTGGGGAAATAACAGTGCTAAGGACAAAAAAGAAAAGGTTCCACAGACAAGGGAGAAAATGGTTGGGTTGCAGTGTGCCCTTAGGTGAGTGAAGCCTTATTTGATGGTGGCAATGGTGGTAGACTTAGGGGTGGATGTTAGAAGAAATTTCTGGGTAGTTGAGAGCAACAAACTATAAACAAAGGCTAAAGATTCACAAAACATAATAAAGATGTACTTTCTCACATTGTTCCTAGCATAAAAATGCTTCTTACCAAGGATAAGAAATACAAAAAGACAAGCCAAAGACAAAAGTCATTGTCAACTGTATAACTGTTTACTTGGTTCCTATCAGTACATATTCATATTTACATGTTCCTTTGCAAATACTCATAGGAGAGCCATTTCTCAAACATTTGGGGGTAAAAAGTAAAAAGCAACACACAGCTTCCTTTGACATCTATCTTCTAAAGCAATTTTGTATCCAAGGTCCAGAGAGTCCTCAAATTCCTAAATAAATCATCATCCTGCATTACCTTTCTTTTCCTGGCAGTTTTGCTTCTTTCTCAGAATTGAATAACAAGCAGCCAATGCTGTGGTTGGAGGAAGAGTCAGCGCAGAGGTGAGCAATAAACCGTGCAAGTGGCCTGATAAAGGACTACCACTACGTCCCATGCTCCCAAGTCACCGCAAACCAGGAGGGCAAGGCAGCACTCCAGAAGAGCTCACTAGGCCGAAGCTCTCCATCTCTTGCTTATTCCCAGTATCTCATATCTTGTGTGTTTACCCCACAGCTGAAAATGCATAGGTAGCAGAGTACCACTAGCTACTACTCATTTATGCTTGGTGATAAGGCTGGGTAAAACTATAATTTTAGCATTAGAAAAGTCAGAACTAGAAAAGCTGTTGTGTGATAGTACACATGAAAAAATTATACTGAAAGAAAACCGTGGAGAGGTTTGGCTATATACCAAGGGGTTTCCAAACGGTTTGGGAAAAGACTTTTGCACAGTTCTTTTTGCACAGTTCTTTTTAATCCCAATATGGGTATTTGAGGACCAGGCAGCAAACAGAAATGATTCCCCTTATTCCTAGTAGGTCATCTTGGCTAATGGTGCCAACTTTGCAGTATCTTGATCCTCAAAGTGGAGCCAGGACTAGAGGGCTAAACAACCCAAGGACATGTGACTTTCTCTCACCCCGTTTTTGCATATAGTGCACATATGCTCGCATTCAACTACTGTAGCTGCTTTCCTGCTGACCAAGGTTGGCTCTGATGGGGAAAAATCCATACTTCCTTTCTCAAATTCCTGCTTTGCAAGTCCTTTGTTCTAAATGCGAGTTCCTATTTAGTATATCACACAATTTAAGAAAATTTAATAGGCAATAGAAAATTTAATTATAGAGGCATGAGCTACCAAGAAGAGACCCCTTCCTAAGAGGAAGTGTGGGATATAAATCACTGCATCTAAAAACAGAACAAAAGAAACACAGAAGAGATGGCAGGCAGAAATCTCAGCTAAATTGCATTTGTGGTGAAAGTCACAATTCAATCACCCCAGAGTTCACAGGTCAATTCATTCCCTGCAACTACACAGAGAGGTACTGTGAAATATCCTTCCCCCACCCCAGATGATCCCATAACTCAGGAAAAAATGCATGACACAGAAACTTCACATACATCATCAACAGATAAAATAGATTCCTCAGATACCAGACATTAAGAAGAAAAGTAGCCAGCAAACTATTCTTTCAGCTAATTCTTATGTGCATATGCAGGCTGAGGGGACCATAAGGGAGGGTTGAGTCTCTGTACAG